TCACACAAACTCAAGCATATAATACTCGTCATAATGGTAATCGAGTAAGGTTATTCGAGGCGAAAAAATGTAATACTGCTGTTTGAACGTGTAGAACATAAACTAAAACCGAGTTATTGTTGTTAATCCAAAAAAACATTTTCTTCTTGATGTTGTATTTGTTGTAAATAAACTAACAGTTGCTTCTGTATCGTATAAATTAATCAATGTCAGACACATACTGCGTAACATTTTCTGTAACGTCTATAGAATATCTATAAAAGTAATTAGTTCTTCTACGTTCCAACCTTACTTTTAGTTCAAATATCAAAACCTACACATACGCATTTTATTTAAGAATATCATTTTTGTTTTTAATTGAATTCACTCTAATTTGTTGTATACATCAAATAGTATTAGTATTCATAGATTTTCTAGATTACTACGTAATCAAAAGTGGGTAAGACAAGCTACCATGATCCGTTCCGACCTTGCTTAAGGGTTTTATCAAATAACGTACAAGTTTGAGATTTAGTTTAGTTTAAATAAATAAATATACCTGAACTTATTCTAAATTAATGGACCATTGTGTTATGTAAGAAACAGAGATGGAATCGAACCGAGGGTGAATGTGGACGTTTTCTTATTACTCACACCAACACCCACCCCTCGACCGCATTTATTTTAGTTAAGAGCTATAAAGCAGTGTGTTAAAAAACGCACAGTTATTTATTAAAAATTCTAAAGTATAATGTATATTCTGTCGATATATTAGTAGTTCAGTAGTTCTTGGTTGGTAGAATAAGTTTGTTTTTTTAATTAAGAGCCGTTTTCTTCGATGGAGCATGTCCACACACTTTCTTACCATAAATAGCGACTTCATGTAACGCATAAAGTTCCACAAGTGAATAGCCTAAGAGGACAAATGGTGTTGTTAAAAAATGAAAAAAGTTTCGTACAACAAAGATATACTCTTCGACTTCTAATACTTTGGGAATAATCATATCAATAATGAATGCAATCAAAAATGTTAACATTTGTACACCTAACATACCATACATTATATAACTGATAACAGAAGGAACACCTTTGACTATTAGAAACATGGATAACATGGATGTGAGACCATATAAACCACCTGTACACAAGAGAATCCCATAATAAATAATAAAACTAATGCCCCAGGAACATGCAGCTGCCGCTGGCATTCGTTTTGCTTTAATAGTAAAATAATGAAATACTTCTGCTGCACCGATTGTCCAGCGACGAGCTTGTCTCGCCCACTCCATAATTTCCAATTCAATCGTTTCTCCGCTTGTAGGTCCACTCAATACGGGAACATGTATCATTGATATTCTCAATCGTTGCTGTGTCAATCCCATCCAGCGAATGAGACAAATAATATCATCCATCTGATAGGCAGGATGAATGTAATTTCCTTTTATTGCTAGACTTACTGAATATGAGAAAATACTCATTGTATTGATATTGAATGGAATTAATGCACCTAGCATCAGAAAACTTCTCAACAAGCCTGTAACACGAGTAATAAACGATAATCCATCCAATTTCCAGTTGTAAAACAAGGGCGCTTGGTAGATTGTATTTAGGGCTGGTCGATTCTCCTTTAAGTATTTGTAGGTTAATGCAGCAATATATTGAGGTGGAAATTTTGAGTCAGCATCACATGTTGTCACCAGTATGTTGTCGGTTTCATTGACATCAATTGCCATTTGTTGAATGGCCATACGAAGACCATAATTGGAATTTGAGCATTTTCCTGGTATTTCATTGAGCACCTTAGACGGATGGATAGTGAATATTATGCGTTGGAATCCAGAGTTTTCAAATTCTTTTTTCAATAATCGGCATTTATCGTCTTTATTTGGTGTTTTGTCTTCGAATGAGATGACCATTGTTATGCGATGTACTTCTGTCTGATTTGCTACTGTTTGAATACTTCTAGCAATCAGTTCTACTGGCTCTTGGTAACAACTAATGGCAACGATGTGACGAATGGCCGTCGCATCGAAGTTAGCGTACGCTTGAGTGAAATCACGATAACGGTTTATATACACAATAAAGGCATTCCTTGAAGCTAAAATGGCAATAACTAAACAAGGAAGAAAACAATTTAAAAAATAGAGAAAAGGACACACTCACTTGTCCACATAGCAACGAATACACTTTGGATAGACGGTATCATATAATATGCAACTCTATTGGAGACAAATGGTATCCATAATGGAAATGGCACAATTAACCATAGTAAAAGATTGAACAACAGATTCCAGCGAAACCACTGACTGCCCGATTTCATATCACGATGAGAGGTTATACCAGTTTCAACGATTGTATGTGGTTTTATAGACGAGATGACAATGTCGTTGTGGTTTGTTTCATCTTCGCATATAGATGTGACACGCGTAAACCTTGAGTCTTGTAATGCATCACTCACACGATTTGCGTCATTTTCCAATTTGTCAATTTTCTGTTCAGCTTCCCATGATAATTGACTGAGAAAATTCTTTTTCGGTAGCTGATCGTGCTTGATTGGTGGCCGCAAGTGTACAGTTTGTCGTGATGTCGACGTTGTGTTGTCATTTTCTTGACTAAGATTACTTTGACTATAATCTCCAGGTTCACTGAAAAATCGGCCAAATTTTGTTGGGTGTACTTGCATTATTGTGTTTCAATTGTATAAATGTTAACTCGAATTCGTTTGATATATTATTGTAGACGTAGTTTTGGCCGCTGAGTCTGAATATGGTATTTAAGTTACAGTTTGAATCTACTATATAACCTCAATCAAGGAAATATTAGCTGTAAACGAAGTTTTTATTCAAAATACGCATTTTTTACAACTTTTTCTTCAATTCTCAACTCGTTTCCAGAATCAGTAAGAAAAATCGCATCTAACGATATATAGAATACACCGGATGGAGATCGAACTATCCAACAAAAGAGGTCTTAGTTAGCAAGCAGTTAGGAAGATCTCATTCGGCAGGTAGGTTCGATGCTCAGTAAATTCGAGTTTGAGCGTTTAAGGATGCCAACTTATATAGTGCTTACCTTAAGTCCGTTTTGTTGTCGAGCTGCTGGTGTTTATGACAGTATGCTTAAGTAGACGTAATGTCTTTCTTAGAAATCTGTTCTTATTTATATTGTTCGCCTCGTGTAACTTAGGTTTCGCGGATTTTCGAACTTAGTCGTAAACTTGTCGATTTCTCCTCCGATTTATAATTATATATTGTTCGTTTTTACAAAAATGAACATGACAACAAGTATATGTAATAAATCAAAGTGAAGTGACACATCGATAAGGAATAAAAGTACTTTTAGGAACTTTATATATTTGCAAAATGGTAGCATGAGAGGCTCTGATAAAACTATCAAGAGTCAATGAAAATCTTATGTGGAATATTTCCAAAATTAAAAATCAGCTTGACACATAAATGTGCAAATTATCTTTATTTCTTGTACATAAGAAATTATTTTCTTTTCTTTTCGAATAAATCTTTCATATTGCTTGATAATATTATCAGGAGATGTCATGTTACCATTTTGCAAATATATAAAGTTCCTAAAAAGTACTTTTATTCCTTATCGATGTGTCACTTCACTTTAATTTATTACATATACTTGTTGTCATGTTCATTTTTGTAAAAACGAACAATATATAATCATAAATCGGAGAAGAAATCGACAAGTTTACGACTAAGTTCGAAAATCCGCGAAAACTGAGTTGCACGAGGCGAACAATATAAATAAGAACAGATTTCTATGAAAGACATTACTTCTCACTAACGATACTGTCATAAACACCAGCAGCTCGACAATAAAACAGACTTAAGGTAAGCATCAGACGGCAGGATCTTTGACGAATCAAATAGTATTCTAATCTGAGTTTCCGATTCTACATAATCTTACTCGTTTTTTGTATGGTTTCTATAATAGGATAGTACAGGTGTTTTGTAGGATCTTAAGTGAATGTAGAGAAGATACTAGAGTTCTAAGATCGTGACAGAAAATCTAAGAAGGCTCAAAAATGAGATGAGGAATACTTGAAAGTACGAATGTATGAGGGTATGGGTATCATTTCTTTACCTTAACGCACACCCACACCCACACCCACACCCTATCTTATATTCCATTTTAATCTCATGGAGTTGGCATTAAAAACGTTTTCCCAATAGTTTCTCTCAACTTTGGCTGAAATATATATTGAAAAATCGGACTCATTTTGCACGTCTTCAATCATATTAGTTTTTCACGTGTTTGTTTTCTATCCCATGTAATGTATTGTAATACAGAATCAAGTGAAGCTAGTGTTCTTCTTTTTAGATCTACTTTGACGTCAGTGATAATTCGATGGATATTCTCATGGTATCAAGACTGATGCTGTTGCTTATGAAGGTAACTATAAATCTCATTTGTTAACTAGAATTTCTTCTACGTGCAGCAGTTAGAATGATGCGACGCTGAAGTATCTAGTAATCTTTCATCTTCCATATTATAGCATCATAGCTTCATTTCAGCGTTATATTTCATTGAAGCTTGAGGGTATGGGTGCCTGTCTCTTACCCACCCACCCACACCCGTCCTACCGCTCTAAATTCTAATTTTTACCTTCGAACTCTGTGATACAATTTGTCCACAGAAGATGCGTCATCGTACCTGTATTCTACTTATTTTCACTCGGCTGAAAGTATAGCATCATATATAAGAAAATATATATATTTTATGTTTATTTGTTATAGTTATTAATAATAAAAGAAACTGCTCTTGCTCAATTAATTGGTGATTATGGACGTTATAGCCCTTCTTTTGAGAAGAAAATGATCGAAGAAAACCGAGAGGATGGATATTGGATTGAGGCTTTTCAAGCAGAAAATCGAGGGGCTATCGAATTAGTAGCTTATGGACTTAATAAAGGAGAAATCAATCTTTATCAAAATCCAAACAAAACTACGGAACCAGGAGAGCCAACACTTATTGAAAATCTTGACTCTCCTGTGGCCATGGATCAAGCTGATATAACAGGCAATGGATATAACGATATTATTATCTGCTTTCGATACGGTAAAACAATGTTAGATTGCGATCCTGACGGAGGAAAGATCGTATGGTTAGAAAACCCAGGACAAAATGTCGATAAAAAACTATGGACAAAGCATTATGTAGGCAGATCCACAGCAATGCATAGACTTAAAGTTGGTCATTTTACGCAAATTGAGCGGTGGGAAATTTTAGGTTTACCTATTGTTAGCCAGCCATTTGATTTACTTTCACCAGTACCTGTGTTGTTATTTCGACAACCTGATAGTATATTCAATGCTACAGAATGGCCTTTTGAAATAATTAATCAGCACTTTTTTCATCTAATTCACGATGCAACAATATTAAAAGGTGATCAATTGGATAATGTTCTTATTGCATCACGCGAAGGTATCAGTTGGCTTTACTTTAATCAAACGTTGAAACAATGGATGATTGAAAGTATTGGAAAGGGTGAACAAGCAGAAAAACAACAGACAGTATACTATGGCAGTGGATGTATCGATGTAGGACAGGTCGGAAGCAATCCTTTATCTTATATTGCGACTGCTGAACCATTTCATGGAAACACGGTTGCAGTTTATGTCAAAAACACAAACAATACTTTAAAACAAAGTGAATGGAAAAGATATGTACTGGATGTATATGGACAGCCTAATGAACAAGGTGAAGGTCCAATTCATCATGTTGTCTCTGCTGACTTTGATAAAGATGGAGATGATGAATTTCTTGTTGCACTTCGTGGACCATTTCCCAATCAAGGTGTCTATCTTTATAAACCGATCGATCACTCTCGTGGTTTATTTTCGAAATGGAAAGTTAGCAATGACTCGGCTGCCAGAATTGCTGTTGCCGACTATGATAACGATGGTTTTCTTGACTTTGCAACTATTAGCTACGCTGTTCCTGGCTATTACGTATCAGAAAATCCTTCTATTAACATCTTTTACAATCGATTTGTCGAGGAGAAACCACAAATTACCAACGAAATACAAGTAATGAAGCAAAACAATGAACTCATATTTAAAGTTTCAAGACCAAGCAAAGTATTACAATATCAAGCACTACCATTTATGACAATACATGGAATCACCTTCTCATTAGAAGTTTTGCCACCTCATAGTTCACGTCAAGTAGACAGTCGTATCTATATCAAGGTTCTTTGGGGAAATATAATGTGGACAGATTCTTCTATAAAATCAAATCAATTCGTCAACCATTCACGCACATTTCTGTGTCAACCAAGGACTGTTTGCTCTCTTGAGATACATAGTGATAGTGACAGAATTACAGCCGGAAGTGAAGGTGCACTTTTGTTTATACACAAACTACGTGTTGACATGAATAATATTGCTCCAGTCGATGATATTAAAAAAGTTACCCTTGAAAACTCACTACCAGAATACTGTCCTGAAGAAACACGTCAAGTTGCTTTTCAATTTATTAGATATGATCAATATGATTCGGCAGAACAGTTCAAAGATGTGGAATTTTACAATCTGAAAGGTTTTGACATCAAGTTTGCGGATAACAACGAACGCCTTTGTTATGTGCAACTGTGGGCTGCTGGACTAGGTGTAAATGCCGGTGTACACAATCATGCAAAGGCTTCATTCTGTGAAATTCATGTCTGTATCATTAATGGAAGTGGAAAAGGCGGTATGCATTATCTCAATAACTCCAAAGAAGTGTACGATCCCCTTACAACACCGGACTCAGCATTCGAAAAGTTACCATTACCAATATTCTATGAACACGGTGCTCTGTGGGATATCGATTCACAAAACAAACCGGTTCTGCGAAGTGATGGTACTGTTGTGTATCCTTGGCACAAATGGCAAGCTGGGACTAATGGATCGTTGAATCAATCATTTGACATTTGGACAGTTTTTGAATTCAATGCTCAGCTGTTAGCATCGCCGTCTTGCTCACATTCACTACTGAACTCTTATATCGTCTTGTTTTGTTCGTATTTCGTTTCGTTTTTATTTATCAATTAATCTTTTTCTCGCGTTACAGGAAGATATTTTATTCTTTTCAACTTATTCTTGAAAATCATTTTTTCAAACAGAAAATAAACTCTTAAAGCTAGAACAACAACAGGAAGTAGAGAAGAGCACATTTTGAGAATATGTGTGTGTGTAAGGGTGGATGGGTGGGTTGGTGAATGAGTGTAGATGGGTGTGGGTGTAAATGTGACTGTGGGTATACCTTTCTTTATTCACACCCACACCCACCCAAGAGCTCTTTATGTATAGTGTGTGAGACAATGTTCTTAAAAATGTATATTTGAAAAAAAGAAAAAGACGGCTGCCAAAGAAAAGAACAAAAAGGAACTG